ATATATATATGTATAAAAATAAAAATGGCAATAAAGAAATACTTATCAATGATAACCTTAAATATAAATGGATGAAATGCTCCAATCAAAAGACATAGGTTAGCTAATGGGTAAGAAAACATGACCCATATATATGCTGTCTACAAGAGACCCACCTCTGAACAAAAGATTCATACAGATTGAAAGTGAAGGGATGGAAAAGAATTATAGGAATTATCCAAGCAAATGGAAATGAAAAATAAATAAGTGGAGGTAACAATACTGATATCTTACAAAATAGACTTCACAAGAGACAATGAAGGTCACTACATAATAGAAAGGTATCAATCCAACAAGAGGATATAACCCTGGTAGACGTATATGCACCCAATATAGGAGCACCTAAAAATATTAAACAACTGCTAGAGGACTTTAAGGGAGAGATCGACAGCAATACAGTCATAGTAGGGGACATTAACACCTTGCTGACTTCACTTAATATGTTTTCCAGACCAAAAAAAAATCAATAAGGAAACAGTGACTTTAAATGAAACACTGTATCAGATGGATTTAATTGACATTTACAGAACATTTTATACCAATGCAGCAGAATATACATTCTTAAGTGCACATGAAACATTCTCAAAGATAGACCACATATTAGGACACAAATATGTCTTTACAAGTTTAAGAAGATCAAAATTATATCAATAATCCTCTCAGATCACAATAGCATGAAACTAAACATCAACTACAATAAAAAAAAACACTAAAAACATTCAAATACCTGGAGGCTAAATAGAATGCTATTAAACAATGAATGGGTTACCAATGAGATCAAGGAGGAACTAAAAAACTTCCTGGAAACAAATGAAAATGAACACACAACAACCCCAAATCTATGGGACACAGTAAAAGCAACCCTGAGAGAGAAGTTCATAGCATTCCAGGCCTTCCCCGAAGAAACAAGAAAAAATATCAAATAAACAATCTAACTCCACAACTAAAAGAATTAGAAAGAGAACAAAAAGCCCAGCCAGAATGACTCAGTGGTTGAGCATTGACCTATGAACTAGGAGGTCATGGTTCAATTCCCGGGAGGGCACATGTCCAGGTTGCAGGCTCAATCCCTTCTTATTTGAAATCAATAAAAATATCTTTTAAAAAAGAAAGAGAACAGCAAGAATAGCCCAGAGTAAGCAGAAGGAAAGAAATAAAAATCAGAGTGGATATAAATGACATAGAGACTAAAAAAATCAGTACAAAAGACCTATGAAACCAAGAGCTGCTTCTTCAAAAATATAAATAAGATTGATGACCATTTAGCCAGACTAAGGAGAGAGGACCCAAATAAATAAAATCAGAAATGAAAAAGGCAAAATAATGACTGACACCACAGTAGACACAGAAAAAGCACAGAAATATAAAAGATTATAAGAAAATACTATGAACACCTCAATGCCAACAAACTTGACAACCTGGGTGAAACAGACAAATCCTGGAAACATACAATCTTCCAAAACTCAATCAGGAGGAATCAGAAAATCTGAATAGACCAATAACAACTAATAAAATTGAAGT